AAATTGTTGAAGTATGGCTGGTGAATGAGGACAACTCTTATTTTTATGTTAACCGAGTTAATTAGTTGATTTACATTTAAATAATCAAATAATGAGTTATGAATAAATTAAATAAGGTCTTAAATTAGAAAATTTTAGGCTATAAAAGTGAGAGTAAAAATTCATTCTTAAATCTATTAAAAAAAGATACAATAACAAATATGTATTAAAATAACTAAAATAAATGTATATACATAATCTAATTTCAGTTACCACCATTTCAAAACTTTTTACAACTTTTAAATATACTCTGCATGAAATTATGAATTAATATGAAAGTAAATTGTAAATCAAAGAAGTTATAAAAAAAGATATACAAATATTTGTAATTTATGGAATTTAAAAAACCTATTTAGTAAACTTTTGAATGTTAGTTTGGTCTTTTCTAATCCTCACAATCAGAAGTTTGGAAACTTATGATTTTAGATTCTTTCCTACAGAATATATTAAACTTCCTTTTTATTCACAAGTTAATTGCTAATAAATAGAGAACCTACTAAAAATAAATCACATACTAAAAATTAAAAAACCATACTATAATATTATGTTTAAACCATTTCTTCACTTTACTTTTCCCAAAAATTAGAACTAAAACTTCAAACTAAAAAATTTAAAAAGAAACCTGAAAAGAAAAACTGAAAACAGCAATTTGCTTGTAAATCAATTCTGAGGAATCATAATTTGTTAACTTCTTCTATACATGCATATTTACACATATATCTGTTGAAAGATGTACACTTTTGAGTTTATTTACTAGTTTTGCAATATCAAACTGACCACTACCTATGTATCAAATGCCATAATTGCCATCATTTTATGCAAAGAATGATAGAGATTGCCATCTCATCTCACGCTTTCCTCCTAAAAGCCATCCACGAGAACCGGAATCAGCAGCCAACACAGATGGTGCCACCCTAACCAACCGGCTCTGATGCTTGACTCTCTACATTTTCACCGATTTGCATTAGTCTTCCCATTTAGGGTTCGATTATAACGAAGAAAACAATAGAAATAACAAACACAAACCACCCAAGATATGTAATTTGAAATACGCCCAAAAAACATCCAGTAAGTCAAACAAGTGCATGCAGCATGTTATGGATGCAAATAAGATGACACCTCTAGCCAAGGTACAAAAAAGAAAGATCAAGTTGAACATAGAGTGTAATCCTCTGTAACATCTGGTTTTGATACCAATTTGTATTAGTCCCACCAAATAGATATAGTTATGGGACAATTAGTATGAAAATCTGCGTGTTTTTGAGACTCGTTATGAGAGAATCCTACATTTTCTTGAATAAGTATCCATTGCTTTTATAATTTTCTTCCATACATGTTTTGTTCTTACATCAATTAGACTTATTACAATAGAGAAAGAGTAATTATTCTCGAAATTATCCTAATTCTCAGAGTTTAGGAACTACTTTTTTTTTTATCTTATTCTTACACCAATGCAACATGCATACACCCTAACACATATACTGCAGAATAGATAACAAAATAAAACATCTTTGATATAAGTTTCAAAAGAACATAAGAAACTAAAGGCACTAGTCTTCGAAACCATAATTTATTATTTCTTACTTCATTGGTACCCCTTGGCAAGATGTGTCCTCTTCCTATTTATGGAGTCATTGACATAACAGAGAGACCAGCAGAAAGGCAACAGTCAATACTGAAACACCGTAATATGTCGGCAAAACATGTTAACAATATGGAATGATTTGCTAATGACAGAAATCTGAAGGTGTCTGCTAGCAGATACACACATTAGCTAACACTAATCTTGGTTTAAGTATGGCATGCGATGAGATGCATAAAATCAGACAAGTTTTCGTATTGCTGTATATATTGAAAAGTTGAACCATATGGGATTTACGCACCTTCACCAAAGAGTTGTTCGAATCGGGTCACTATGTGCTTCCCGTAAGTATATTTCTTCAATGCATGAAGATGAACTTTTACACGATTGAGCAAAATCTCACGCTGCTTATCCTCGCTAATTTCAAGAATTTTCTGGATCACATAATTTGCGTACTGATCCTTCATCATTATCTGAGATAAAGGGCAAATGGACATAAACTTAGTGAAAAGGCATCACTTTTTCCCACAGAGATCAAACGCTATTTCGACTCAGTTTTACTAAAGAATCCTCTTATTGCAGCACAAGTTTTTATAAATTAAAAGCATATGAAGCAGACTTGCTTACTTGAAAAACCAACTGAGAACTTAATGCTCAAAATATATTATATACGTATAAACATGGGTATCATGGATGCCTCTCATCACATGTACCAAAAAATACGCAGTTAGCGGTGGATCAAACCAAATTTTCACAGCAAGGCCTCCGCATTTGTTATTTTTTCTCATCCTGAGAAATTTTGTCAACGATCCAAAACTCTTGACATCCTATTCATCTCACTTTCCTTTGATCAACTTAAGCACCATTTTAGTCGACATTCCAAACAGACCCATGACTTACGAATGCTCGGGGTCAAATGAATCTTCTGACTAAAAATTAAGATTGTGAGAACAGCTTGCATTATGTACACTTTCATTCGACTTACCAGCAAATTGTCATTTACGTCACGTTCCCCGAGTATCTCGTTAACCAACAGCTCTCGTTCAGCAGTATCAGCATGCTCCAAACACTTCTCAACAACATTTGATGCATATTTATGCTGACTCATTTGTACAATTTTTCCAGTCAACTTGCTGATAATTTTACATCTTTCCTTGGGTTTACCCCTCTCAAGAACATGCTTCGATCACACAATAGAGATCAGAAATAATAAAGTAAAATGAGGTAATAAGAAAGAGAAAATAGAGTTTCAAAACTCCAAAACAATTCAAACTAGGCCAACTGAAATTTTAACATCCAATAAGAAGCACCACAAATATATTGCTATACCAACATACTGCTTAACCACAACAAACTTGGCCACAACTAAGATATGTCAGACATTCCCAAAATAAGAAAGTGCAATATTTAAGATTGATGAAACAATAACACCACTTCCATGCTTTCTAAGCATTAGGGTGAAAAGATAAACATACTCTTATATTTAATCTGTATTATAATTTATATAGTAGGTTCTAATACCATGAACAGGCAAAAAAAATTTCAAGTGTGATTTTGATTAATCACATGATAAAGAACCAGCAAAACAGGAAGATAGCCACATGCTGCAACAAGCCATACACACAAAAAAGGGGCAGGGAGAACCAAAAGAATAGTTAAAGCATTTTGACATCTATGCGGGGCCAAATGAAAAAAAAAAAAGAGAAACTCCAATGACATAGATGGAAAGGTAAGACAACCTTTTAAATTAATAGGTATCTACCAGTCTCCGTACTTTGAAAAGCAAACCCAAAAAACAATGTGCATTAAAAAAAAGCTATGCAGAAAAGTAAAATTAAAAACAGAAAAAAAACCTGGGTGACATAATTCCCATATTGGTCTTGAGCAAGCTCACATGCAGATTCTAATATTTCATCTATTATACACAGAGTTTGCTGCTCATCTGGACAATGCTCCAAAACTCTCTGTCACAAACCGAAAGCATATCAGATTCAACACACATGAGAAAGACAAAAATATTTTTGAAAAAACTGAACACACAAGGGGCAACAGACTATTCATCTTTTCACTCGTTTGTTAATCTTACATGCATATGTAATAACTGGAGCTTGCATAACAAACCAATACCTGAATAACACGGCAGCCATAGGGATGAGTTGAAAGTGTGGCAACTTGACCATGAAAAGCAGAAATAATAAACCCAATTCTCTCTGTAGGAACAAACTCTATACACTTCTGTACTACATGATTCCCATTCTGATCACGAACACATCTCAAAACATGTCCATCAAGCTCATGCACAAGTTGTATTTTCTGATCAAGTTCTATCACTTCGAGGGCCTAGGAAAAAAACCCAGAAGCGAATACACAATCAACAAGCATAATAAATTTTTTTAAGATTACTAAAGTTTCAAATTGAGCAAGAATATGTGAGCATCGGTAGTATTTTAACTGCAGTTGGAATTCACGCAAACAAATGCTATCAGGCTTGCCACAAATAATATTCACTTTCTTGGATCAAGGTGAAAAAGCTACGCATATAACAAGATGAAGGGAGAAATGGAAAAATGAACCTGCCTCTGAAGTTGCGATATTATGTTCACCCTCTCCGAAAGGAAAAAAGGAGGAAAACAAGAAAAGAAAAAATCCTTTAAATGCTATAAACATGTAATGGACAAATTGTTAATATGAATTCCATATTAAGTAGGATATCATGTTAAATAGAATATTTTATTATTTAGAATTTTAATAATAAAATAATATCATGTAATTAGAATACTCTTAAATAAGAATAATTCTCTCTATATATATCCTTAGTGTAAACACAAAAAATAAGAAATAAAAAAGTAATGTATTTTTTTCTAAAAATCTTCATAGTATCAAATTCAAAATAAAACTATTTTAGGATTATAATTTCAGAATTTTTTCCAAATCCTAAAATAGAAAAATAGACTAACTTGTTACTCAAACTACTAGAAAACCAAACTCATCACTACCTGGACGAAGTCGTCGCCCAACCCCGGCCAGCACACCACCGGTTTCCACGCACATGAGCTACATGTGCCGTCGGCAATAGAGGCACATGAGCCATGCACCGCCGGCTTCATCCCTTTCGACTCGAAAAACTTTGGAACACCGTCAGAAAAACCCGATCGGTACAAATCCAATTCCTTTCCGCATGAAATCCGACCTGATATCTGGCCCTTTTTTCACGCGACTGCACACATTCGGCAGATCTGCCATCCTGCGCCCTCTGCCGCTCCATTCCGGCCGATCCACATTTGATGACGGCTCGACTTTTCCTCTCGCACACCACACTACTCCGGTTGCGCGTGAATTGTGCTACATTGACTGGACATATCTCCTCCGCCGCACTCTTCTGGTGTTCCGCGCATTGGGACGTTCGGTTTGGCCATTCCACACGCTGGACCACTCAGACCTAGTTTGTTTGCGCCTGAGTCGAGCCGTCTGCGTTCGAGCTGAGATGAGCCAGATCTGATTCCGGTTTTGTCTTTTTTTGGCTATTTTCATGCAGATTAGGAGGTCTATTTTTTATTACTAGGTATTTTTCTTATTCTTTTAGTATTTTAACATGACAGAAGCAAGAAAAAATGAATGTTCCTAGTTTTGATAGTCCTTTATTAGAAATCAATTCAGTAAAACTTAATAAAATTAATTATTTTACTTGGTCGAGATTTTATTTATTATTCATCAAATCTAAAGAATTACAGAACTACATTACTGGTGAGGTGAATAAACCAGATATTGGTAGTTTAGAATATAATAGATGGGACTCTCAGAGCTTATTGGTAATGTCGTGACTCATCAATTCCATGCAACCCCACATTACCATAACATATTTGTTGCTTAATACTGTTGAAAAGTATGAAATACAACATCTCTTATATATTTACAAGTGGGTAATGATGCCTAAATTTATAAATTTTGAAATAAAATTCATGACATAAAGTAAGGAAAGATGACTAATTTTCAATATTTTTCTGAAACGAATTGATTATGACATGGTTTAGATTTCTATCAAGATCTCCAAGCAAATTGTCTTACAGATACAGTTAAATTTCAGAAATTGATAGAAAAAGAACGGATTTATGATTTCTTAGGTAGTCTGAACACCGAATATGATCAAATACGGATTCAGGTGCTTGGTAAGAATCATCTTCTCTCATTATAACAAATTTATACTTATGTTCAGCAAGAAGATGGTAAAAGAAATGTCATACTTCACATTGCACCAGTTGAGAATGTTGAATTAGTTGCGCAGTTTAAGCAATCCAGAAATATATAAAAGTGTAACTATAGTGGCAAGCCAAAATACACTAGGAAAACTTGTTAGGAGTTGCATGGAAAACCAATTAGAGGTCATGGGGAAACAAGAGATGGAATCACGAGAGCTTAAGTAAATTTTATTGGAGATAGGGAAACACCTGACTCACCATCCGTTGAAACCTTTTCCACATAAGAAATTCAGAACCTGAAGTGTCTTCTGACTCAACTTAACTTTTCATTATTGATACATCAAATATGGTAAAATAAGGTATTGCTCATCTCCATTATATTTTCCCTCCTAATATTTGGATTATAAACTCTGAAACTAACAAACATATGACCATCTCTTTTAAAAAATTCTTAACCTATTCTTTTTGTATTGAAGGAGAAAATGTCCTTATAACAAATGAGCCATACACTCCCGCATCTGGAACATATTTCATTAATTGTACTCTTTTTACTACACTGTCTTCAGTTTTACATATGTTTAGTTTTTCTGATAATCTTTTATTTATTACTGTCATCACTAAAAATCTCAACTGTAAAATTGAATTTTTTTTTTTTTATTATTGCATCTTTTACGATCTTCAAATCGAAAAAATGATTGACAT